GTGTGTGTGTGTGTGTGTGTGTGTGTGTGTGTGTGTGTGTTAGTGATTGCACGGTAGTGATTTGGTCTGCCTGTTGTCTCTTGTTCCAGCAGCTACCACCTGGTTTGTCTGTTGATTTCTCTGAAATGATGTGGAGATGACATGGTTAGATGAGCGAGTCATCACAGAAACTAAAAACTAAAAAAAAAAAAAACAACTTTGACTTTTTAAAGAAATATTCTGGTGATTTTTGAAGCAGCTTTAGTGACTTTAAACTGTCATGCAGGCATGTTTCCATACAATGAGATTTATTGCCTGCATTTGACCCATCACACATGAGGCACCCACGTGGAGCAGCAGGCAGCTATTAAAGCACCCATGCAGGGAAAAGTTAAATTACATTTCTTGCTCAAGGACACTACAACACATGGGCATGGTGGGGAATCGAACCTGTGACTGGTTTTAGATGATTAGAAGATCTAAATTTTTGAACTCTCTGGTCAGAAGTCGACTGCCCCTTTAGTACTTTATGAGCATCAGTATGAAGAGAAGAGCAGAGGTCTTCTGTAAGGCTAGGCTAACAGCTAACAAAACCACTTTTTCTTTATTGGTTTTCAAGGCTTATGAAAACTTCTTTAAAATGTCCATACAGGTGTGAAAAAAACTATGTATTAGTTAAAGAAATGCATTGCAATGTCACGAAGATTCGTCAGAAAAAAGTCTGAACCAAAATCTGCACAATCCCCCCCGTATTTATTATAATTTTGTTACGGACTGCCAACAACCACATGCTGCGTCACTTTAGCTGTTTACGTACAGAAAGAGCCGAAGGAACTGAAAACAGGTCAAACAGTTGTGACTTCCATGGAAGAGCTGTTCGGAATAAAGACGTTCCACAACTTTGACGTATGATTTTACTCTGCGATTTTTTTTTATTTTATTTTGTGAAATAGGTAGCTTGGTGCTGATTGGTTCTTGATATTTATTTATGACAACCGTCTCACTCGTTCTTTTTATATTCTTTGGCGTTTGGCAGCAGATTAACTCTTATATTTCCACTTTTTATTCCCATCTTCTCAGAGATTGTGTTTTTCTGATTCTTGCTAGTGAACTCATCCAGGTGCTTTGTTTACACTGAATGCACACCTGCATTTTACAACTGCATAACAATATGTCGAAAACCACTGAAGTAAACTCAAACTGCACCAGCTAATATAGTTCAGGATAACATTTTTTATGTTCATTTTCATACTTTGCAAATGAGTACCTTTAAACCAGCAGTCTGGTGCTCATTGGCCACTGTCCTGCATGTTTTAGATGTTTCTCTGCATTGGCGCACCTGATTTGAAACAATGAGTCATCGCCAGGCTTCTGCAGAACTTGAAGACCTGCCGAGGAGCAGGATGTCAACTGAACATGTGGGATAGTGGCCTTTGTCTGTAAGTAAATACTCAACTCCAGCAGACCGATATGTTCAACAGCTTCAAGGGTTTAACATTTGTGACGTATGTCTGACTTTGTTTGGATCAAATTAAAGGGTGACATGCAAATATATACAGCTTTAATGTTAACTAGCGTTCTTTTATATAACAGCTGTTTTATAAACCTGAAATATGATCTAAAAGTGGCCCGGGTTAGCTGTTAGCGTAGCCTGAAGAAAAAAAAAAGAACAGAACTCCGTAATCTTAGGAGGGAACAAGACAATCAAACGCTGTGTCAGCAAGTAACAGGATTACGAAGTGATTCAGTGATTACAGAGCAGGGAGGTGAGAAGAAACCGTCCACTGTTAACTCATTCGCTGCGGTTAATCTGCCTCCTGAGATCACAAAGAGCTGCAAACTTTGTTTTCACCTCATCATATTATATCCTTATATCTGATCAAAAACTGCAGAAATGGTGACCTTTATTTTCTAAAGGCGTCACGCCCAACTGTTGTAAGAAAATACTTGTTCAAAGGCCACAGCAGAGAAATGCTTTCATCTCATACATGACATTTCCCCCTTTACTTTAAAATGTAAATGTACTTTTATTGTACTTTTTGCTCATGTGAAAACACTGAAAAATAAATATAGGTGTTTACAATGAGTTTTGAACGAGTTTCTTTTGACAAAAATGAAATAAAAAGCTTCATTTTTGTAACGAACGTGAAAACATCAAACAGCTTCGATTAAAACGGTTTGATTAAAATGAAAACTTGAATTGAAAACGATCGTTTCTTGTTGTTTGAAGCTGATTCAGTTTTATCTTTCAGCCATTTGCGACATATGGATTATGTGGTATTTCAGATTATAAACTCAGTTTTGTAAATGTTTCACAGATTTGCACACAAACGTGGGAGTTTGGCTGCTTGAAAATGTCTCCCAGTCACTCAAAAAGCAGATCCAGGACAGGTGTTGGCTTCTAAAGTCAAACCTAAACTTCATTTTGTGCAGAGAAAAACAGGAAACCTGACTTCCACAAAGTGTTGCCACCATGCAAACACACTGTTGTCTAAATATCACTGTGCTGTAGCTTTAAGAGACCTTTAATCTGAAATCTCTGAATTGAATCTTAAAGAGACAAAACGGGGTTGGGGGTTGAATATTTACCTGAGTGATAATAACACAGAACCAGTAAAAGAATTGTTAAACCATAACATTCAACAGATTGTTTCTGAGCTCAAAAGTCAAGTTTGAAGCGATGAAAGCGTTTGAGCTCGAGGCGTTTTTTAGTTTTTTTTTTAAATGTTGTCACACCTGACATCAAAGCAGAGAAGCTGTTTCCTATGGTGAGAAAGTGAACCTGTTATCAGAACAAACATGTGCTCTGGGTGTGTTCACTGTCACCGCGCCAGAAATACAAGTCTGTTCACCTTTTTGTTCTGAGGGCTTTGCAGCAAAGAGGAAGAAATGGCGGAGTGGGCAGGAAAGTGGGTGTAACACTTCCCCCTGGTGGAGACTCGCAGCAACTACACTGCGTTTGAAACCTGTCAGGCTCAAAGATGAATTAAAATTAGCATAAAAAGTCGACATACGGTTGTATCCTCTTTTAAATGATTGGAATAAATAATTAAAGGAGAGAACGGCTCATAATGTAACAGAATTATTGCTTAAAGTCAGGTTGTCTCACTTCATTGATCCAAAACAAAAACAACAAACAGGATAAACATCACTGGTACAGGAAACTTGACATAATTTATTATCATTTAAAAATTCAAATAAAATAAAAGAGGCTGCAAGAATTTGTAGAAGAGATGCACAAATCATCACTGATCACAGAAACTCTTAATGATGCTTAAATAACAGTCAGCTGCGGCGAGATGCCACAAAAACACACAACCAGGAAACACACACACTCACCTAACTGCTATAAAAAAAAACATCAGTTATATATGTACAATTTATACATTTAAAAAAACAAAAACACTGACTGCTGGAGAAGCTTATTCCAACAAAAAGAACTTTTGTTTCGTTCAGATGTCGTTTGATAGATGAAAGAAAAAAAAAACAGGCCAGTTACAGATTAGCCATGACAAACAAGCAATAAAACAATTTCTAATCTAAAATAAAAAATGGAATAATACCCATCTTGTGCCACAGGCAGCACAGAAACACGTATCTCTGTTGTATGATGTGGATCATCCTGCCCCCCTCAGTACATGCCTGGGCTGTTCCGGATCCCACAGCAGAGCACCATGGTGAAGATCATCTCAAAGATCTGAATGGAGACAAACAGGGGAAAGTGAACCATCATGTCTGGATTCCACAGAAAACAGTCAAAATGATGAGTATTTTTTCAGTGTGGCACTCACCATGATGGCGGCAACCACCAAAGCGGCGAGGCCGATGAGGTAGAGCTTCTCGGAAAAGAGCAGGACCAGTTTTTCATGACAGCCCTGGGAGGAGGAAGAGTCTGGGTGAGGATGCTGAGGCTCAAACCGCACACACACACACACACACACACACACGTCAGGGATTCAATGTCGTGAAAATCTGTTTACTGTCCAAACAAAGCTGAGTATCTGCTGCTTATATTAAATGCTCTCTGACCTCAGGAACACGCTGCTTTGACAACAACATTCTGCAGGTACGGTTGCTTCATGGTAATTCATTAAACAGGTGAGGTTTCGTTGTTCCAGTCAAAATAATCACAGTAAGTTGATTAAGTCCTATAAATACCTTCTTAAATCATTAAAGTGACAATCTGTTTAAACAAACAAGGAGTGGATTTGAGTTGAACAATGTTTAACCAAAATTACACCAGTTCAAAAACATTCCAAATATCTTGAGTTCAAAGGGCAAACAATTCAGCATAAAGGGATTGTTTCAATAGTTTTGAGCAGGGTTCTGTGTGAATTGTGAAAATTTTGGCTTAAATGGTTATTCTGGCAGAATTCTTCTGGTTTTCCTGCAGGAACAACACACTTAGTTTTACAGAAGCTAAAGTTTGATGTGGTAGTTGCTGAGAGTCATCCTGAATACAAACACTGAGCATTAACAGATTGATGAGATCCTTGTTTTTCTGTGTGAAATCACATTTTTTAAAAGAATTGTTGAAAATATTAGTTTAATTTTAACGTATCATCTGTTTTGGGTGACAGAGAAAAGCATAAAGAAGTCAGAAGTTGTGATTTTACAGAGAACTTTTCGCTCACCCTGGTTTTTGGGGCAGAAAGAGGTTTTGGGCGACACAAAGTTGGAGCGAGTTGTATGAAGAGAGCTGTGTCGGTGTCTCCTTTCCCGCAGCACTCGAGCTACAGAGGAAACACGCTGAGTCATGCACTTCACAATGTTTAAGATTCAAACAAGAATCCATTCTCTGATCCCACATAGTGGGAGCCGTACCGTAGAGTGGAAAGCCTCCAGCACCTTGACGGCGGCATCTTTACTGGGAGACCCTGAGACATCCACAGCCTTGATGTACGCGCCGTCGTAGAAATTTATAAGTTCCTTGGAAATCTGTGGATGACCAAAATATTTAGAGACGGCTGACTGAAGCAGGAGTGGAGGCAATAAACAGGTGTGTGTGTGTGTGTGGGGGGGGGGGGGGGGGGGGGAAGAGAGTCGGTACACACCGTGTCTCTGTTCATGAAACCCCAGATTGCTGCGGCCACCTCACAGGCGAACAGGATGACCAAGAAGAAGAAGAACTACAGAAAAAAAAAAACATCAGGACATTAATCAGATATTTGTGTCAATGCTGAGTCAGCATTTATACCAACCTAACCATTCTTATATCAAACGTGCTTTGATTTGTGGTCTTTGTAACGTTACTAATTTTTTTTAATTTACCGTATGTACTTTTATTTGCAAATAATGTATTTTTACTATGGAAAGACATATACAGTAGATCTCTTTCCTTCAAAACTTTCTTCCTTTAAGTTTTTTTGTTTTTATTTTTATTTTATTTTTTTTTGTATACTGGCTTCCTTTCTGTTTTCTTATGCTCATTTTAGCTTGTAGCTATTGTCTTGCTAATAATTTTAATTATAGTTTTGCTATTTTTAAACTTTAGCTATTGTGCCCTTGCACCTAGAAAGATGATTCTTGTTGCGATGAATTATACAGAATTAAGCTTTTAGTGACAGTTTAGCAGATTTTAAAATTAAACTATAGTTTTGCTAGTTTTAGCTTTAGCAATGTATTTTTTTTTTAGCTTTTTAAATACTATTTTTCTACTTGTAGTTTTTAGAGATGGCTTGTAAATTGAATGATTTAGCAATGAATTTGTGATTAGCAGATTCTTTTTTATGCTTTTTGGGAACAAATCTTTTATCGTTGGAAAACCCGTTAATATCCCTTTTAAATGGCGCCACATTTGTAAGGAACATGCATTTGTGAGATGAGCAGCAGAGCTCAGATGTGGGTTGCACACATGAAATATTTGACAAATCTTCTCTGCCGAACAGCTTATTTTGCTGTTTGTCTTCACTTGTTTTGAGCTTCTGGTACATCCAGGTGCTGCTATAAGATTTATTATAAGTAAATAATGTGTTGCAAATATATGTTGCAATTTTAGCTATAGCTACAGTTTTGCTACATTTGAATTTTAGTTAAAGTTTTGCTCATTTTAGTATTTATCAATTGTTACACTACATTTAACTTCTATGGTTTTGCCAGTTTTAAATTTAGCTGCTCTCTTGCTGATTTTAGCTTCTTTTATGCTTGTTTTAACTTTGTTCAGTTAATAAATTATCCTCCAACAAATTCAACAAAACATTTGTCAGTACTCAGCAGTCGTGCTGTGTTTTCACATTAGTGTTTAATTTATTTTTAGTTTAATCCTTTTTATATTGCAGAGAAAAGAATTTGAAATAAAAACAGTGTAACTTAAAGCAGCATGATGTTGAGGTGGAGTAATAAAATGAATAAGGGAGTTACTGACTGTCCCCAGCAGACACTGAGACTCCTGAATGGCTCCATAACATCCGAGGAAACCAACGAGCATCATGATGGCTCCAACAGCTATCAGGATGTACACACCTGGGAACAGAGAGGCTGTCAGACAGGAAGTCTTCAGCACCACTAGGGGGCAGCAGTCAGTGCTGCACATTTCACACTGTTAGTGATGGATCCCCTCTCTCTCATGACATAATCCACATCCTGAAAGCTCCCAGTTCCTGAGTAAAAGAGGTTGAGGAGGTCGCTCACAGCTGCCAGCCGGGCAGGGAAGTGCTTCCTGGACACCCCGGACTTCCCCTCCGACCCCTGCCTGCACTGACCCACGACCCAGAACAATACCCAGGAAACATGAGGAGTTAGACACTCATCCACACACATGTTGGTGCATTTAGACTGATGTAGTTGGTTCCTGGTGTTCGTTTTAACGCAGACGTGTAAAACTGGATTCAATGCAGGACAAACTAACAAAGCTCCAGTTTCAGCTCAGTCAGGCTGTAGAAAAGCAAACATTTCATTAAACCTGCAGCTAATAACATTCTCATTATGCAGGACAATACCTGTCAGAATGATCTATAAGCTATTATAACCAGGAGATAAGGGGGACTTACAGTACTGTGCAAATATACAACAAAAATAACAACCATTCATTGGTCATGTTTGTAAATTTTCCTGTCCTTCCTTCACACGAGATCTGTTTTCATTTATTCAACAGACTTAAAGTACAAAAAAAAAAATAATAATAAAAAAATTCACTAAACTTGTTGCGTTTATGTAAATTCAAACAAACCTAACAGTTACAAAACTAAAATTTGTTTGGCAGAGATGGTTAAAACTAGATAAACTGTAAAAGATTATACTAACTTTAGTTTAGTCATTTCATTTAAAACAAAATACATTCAAAAAAACAAAACTAAATAAAAAATAATATAATGAAACAACTAACTAAATCCAGATATAATAAATTAAAACACGACTTTTCATTTGGTCTTTTATTTGTTGCTTTGTTTTCCAATTTATCTGCCTTTTCACAAAACCTGAAAGAAACCTCTCTTAGCCGATCATCTACAGTTTGTCAAATATTTGGTTTACAGCCCTTTATGTCAAACCGTTATTTTAATTTTTTTGGACTTTTGTAGAGTAGGAAACTGCAGAAATAGGAACAAACTGTCTAACAGACTGCAAGATCTAACTTCTGTCAACAACACTGGGTCACGTCTCCAGTTTAGGGGCCTTTTTTACACCTTAAATGGAAAAACAAACATTAATATATTGCCTCAGAAAATGGTCAGGTAGTCAAATAAAAACTCTTTATGAGATCTTTAGGAATGATGGATAAAAACGACTTTAAAGACGACAAGACAGTCAGTCCCTTTGGAAGCAAAATGTGTATTGACTCAAGACTTTTGCACAGTAATTTCCTGCTTAACCTGTTACAGATGAGTCTCAGTATGATGCCTAAATTACAGTAAAATTCCAGTGAACAGCAGGAAACCTACTGCATGAATGTTTGAGGCAAAAGTAGGTCCAAAGTGCTTCTTCCTGGCATTGAGAGGCTTCAGATTGACAGGAAGTGATGTGTGACACAGATTAGAGGTTGGGTGGCTGCAGGCAGGGGAATGATAACCAGAAATTATCAGAGAATGGTTACAGTTTGACCAGAGCTGCTGTTTAGTTTGTTATAAATATATTCATTAAATAAAGATGTGAGATCGGGTTTGGACGTGTCGTAGGAATTTCACTTCGTCTGAATGTTTATCTTGCAGCAAGGCTTCATGGAAGAGATATGTTTGGATTTTCTATTTTTAATTCCCAGGAAACCGGCTTCCAACAACAGCCGAGTGAGACCCAACACTGTAGCTCATTTCCCATCTTTACAGACACCCTCCCCCGCCCCCCCTTTCTCTTTCTCTTTCAGGGCTTTTGTTGTATCAAGAGGCGGCTACCAGGGCCAGTCAATCTGCAATGCAGCAGAGGAACCATTATTTCCTCTGCCCTCCATTTCTATGGCAACACCCTTTCAGGTTTGGCGTCTATTGAGGCTTTAAAGGCGACATGCGATTTTAGACCCTGGAGAAGTTCGTTTATATCTGATCTCTACAGGATGAAATAAACAAACAAAAAACGAGGTGAACATCAATTAAAAACTCCAACCAGGAGGGAAAAAAAATAACATTTGTGATTCCAGAGTTACTTCAGAGAGGAAAAATGATAAAAGTTTACATTAGAGTCTGTCACATGCCTATCCATTGAATACAAAAAGTCAAAGAAAACACATTTTTATATAAGAAACCTTAAATAAAATGTGATTTTTACCCATTTGATCACATAAAGGGCATACTTTCTTTTGAATTTGTTGGCCAAAGGGAAACAAGAAGTGACATCAAAGGGAATCTGTTTAAGCAATTGAACTCTCTACTCTTTGTTTATTAAAATTATATTATTTGAACTCTGACTCGTGTTCATCTCTCTCTGATGGAGATTCAAAATAATCTAAAGAAACATCAGACCATACCTTAGCCATTTTATCAACGCTCTAATCCATGCAGGCATTCCCCTTTGACATCACTTCCTGTTACTTCAAGTGCAAATATCTCAATAACTGTTCATATCAGCAGCGGGAATTTATTTTTGCAATATGTTATTGATATTATCTTTCCAATAATGTCTTTGTATTTATTTTAAAAATTTCATGTCACAGGCACTTTAAACCTTTCTCACGTCACGTTCTCACCAAAGCAGAAAATAAAACAAGTTTCTGGTTGAGTCAGGCTCGTGTCTGAGATTTTTGTAAATCAACACTTCCTGTGGTTAGTTTAGATCATAGCAGCAAATAAAGAGTTAAAAAGTGAAAACATTCACCAACTCCAAACCACAATAATGTTGTTATTTAACCGTTTTAAACAACAGATGTTTATTAAGAAAAGAATGAGTAAATGAACGTTTCTGTTTGTACTGGCCATTACCCAAACATAATAAGTGTCTGATTATGTTTCTCCACATGTCTGTTAGCAAAATATCTCATGAACCACTGAATGGATTTTCATCAAACACTCAGAAAGTAACCATTGGATGTAAATTTAAAACAGATTAACTTTTGGAGTTAGTCCAGTTTAAGGAGGCTGCCAGCGCCAATGGAGTTTAGAAAACATAAAAACGGTTACAACTTGATGAATTTTACAGATATTGAGCAAAAACTTGATGTGGTGGGAGCAGAGAGTCGTCTACAATACATTCTCTGAGCGTTACTCATTGTGTGACGTCGTTGCTTTAAACCATTGGCATTAACTGTTGGAGTTAAGCCCGTTTGTTAGCAAAATCTCTCAGGAGAGAATGAAAAGGTTTTAATGAAGCCTTCAGAAAGTAATCAGTGGAAGTGATTAACCACCACAGATTATCGAAATTAGTAAACACAAACATGTTTGTAACTCGGTCATTTTTACAGAATGTGGTGGTAAAAATGTTCAGTGTTTAATAAGCTCCGATCCATTATGCAAATAAACACGAGATATAACCTTTAAAACAGCGATTTCCCCATCAGATTTACACAAAGCTAAGCTAACATCCTAAAATCTGTCGATTTTTTTTAACAAACACGAGAGTTTTGTCGATCTTGTCATTTTCCTCTCAGCAAGTTGAGCAGAAAATCTAAACTCAGACAGTGTGAGGACTTTCTGCACTAACCAGACCAAACTGCCACCAGTCATGATTCTGAGCGCTGCTGCAGAGGTGGGAGCCTGTGTATTTCCAGTCTTACATAAATACCACTTTGGGTCGCTCGTAAGCTAAAAGCACCCACTTAAAGCTCTAATTTGAGGGATGATGTGCAGATGTACAAGGTTATTTGAATTATGTAAGGGCGTGTGTTTAAGGGATGGTTTAACAAAACATATTTATATATATCCCTTTCATCTTGCTTGGGTGGGCCTTTTTTTGCCGCGCTGCCTTTTAAAATGACTCGTGCGCCTCTCCTTCTATAAAAAAAAGCTTTGGTTTGACTTGGCTCTGTGTACTTACTGAGCAGTAAGTATAGCAGAGCAGGAGCCCAGATGTAAATTAAAAGGTTTACTGGAGTTCAGCACCGCAGCAGACCCAAGATTGTGGACCTTTCCATGTTTACATCATGTTTCTGTGTTTCAAGTCGCTCTCTGAGCTCTGAGCAGGACAAGAGCTACAGAAGTGGAGGACGTCCACATGTTCAGAGACGAGCTGTGAAGATAAAAACTGGTTCAGATGTGAGCAACAGAAGAACAAAGAGACTTTTTTTGGGGTTTTGCATCTGTCACAACATCTGTCTGAGGCTTCTGGCTGCTTTCTAGAGCACACCTCCAGGAGACATTTTGGTATAAACACACACACTCAGAGTGTTGGGAATGTAAAACAAAACAAAAATAACCTCCCTTATGTGGTCATGAATGAAAAACTACAGCTGGTCAAGGTCATGATTAGGTTGCAGATTTACGCAGGTCCTGTTTCCTGCTCCTTTAATCCTAAATATCACTGTTAGCTTTTTTATTTTTATAATGTGGTATAGATTGTTTTTATATAATCAAAACAGAAATCAAATTAAAAAGGAAGTCAGAAACCTTTAAAAAAGGCAGGTGTAAATCCAGAGGAGTTTACTGATGGTAGACAAATAAACAAAAACAGTTTATTTGCTAATCTCACCAAAATTGTAAAAATTGCATATTCAGAGTGTTAGTGTGTGTAATCTAAATGATCAGTTTCATCACCAAAGCCTTAAAACACAAGTTTTTATATAAACTCATTAAAGGACAGTTCTGCACCACAACACGTTAATTAATAAAACTGAAGATTTTAAACACAAATCACATACGATCAGTTGGTTTTCTGAGCATGTGTTGGGGATGACTGTCAGCTACTACCACCTTAAATTTTAGCTCAATATCTGTCCATTTGACTGAATGATGGTCCGTTTTGTGTCTGCTAAGTTTAATTATCTGTGGCGGCCATCTTGGATTAAACTAACTGAAAACTACATCAGTTGTAGATGTGCATCTTCATCTTTTTTATAGTTTGTTTATTTCATGAGATATTTTGCCAACAGACAAATAAACACACAAATAACACACACTCATACACAGACAACTACAGGATTACAAGTTGAGCTCACAAATTCCTATAAAAAGCTTGTAAAACTTTCTGTTTTGCTCAATGAAATTAACAGTTTATTTACACAAGTGAAACAATAAACTAGCACAACCAGTTTATTAAAAATAATTTGGCAATTTGTTCTTATTTTTTATTTTTATTATGATTTTTTTTGTTTCAATTATTCTGAAGTTTGGACAAAAAACATTGTTATACTTCAGAACTGATTTTTGTCAACTCAACTTTTTCTTTATTCTTTGAGTCAATAATTAGCAGAATAATCCAAACCAAAAAAAAAAAAAAAAAACACTTCAAATGTAAAAAAAAAAAGGTACTAAATTGGGCCGGCCTGAAAAAACTTAAACCTACTTTTCTTGTTTCTGTAAGAATACAGTTTCAACATTACAATCAAACTGTAAAAACTTTATTCTAAAGCAGGGAAATGGTTTAGGCAACATGCGTTTTTGATATTTAAGGTGTAAGACTGTGTTTGAACTAAAGAGACCTGGCTAATGACCATGTGAAGCAGGTTTCTGATGTCTTGTGGGGGATACTCACTGATGTAAAAAGTGTTGGGCGCCTGCTGGCCTTCAAACTGAAGTATGAGGAGGCTGCTGGTTTGGTTGTCATGGCGTAACCACAGGGCCACTCCTAGGATCACACCTCCGGCCAGCTGTCCCAAAACAGAAACAGACTTTAATTATTCATTTTCTCACAAGGATCTGAGACACTCACTGTATGTGGGTGATGTTCAACGAAAAAAGAGATGCCAACACTGTGAAATTATTGTATGAAGTGTGATCGGCTATGCTCATTTTTTCTAAATTGCCATTTCCACTTAACAGCAGACTTCCTGACACCTCAGTGACCTTTGTCACACACAGTGCCCTCGCTGCGTTGCTGAAAGCCAAATCAACTCTGGTTTTCAACATATCTTTGATTCTGCTCATCATTAGGTGTCAGTATCCTTACATGCCCTAACATTCAATGTTATGGAGCATTAGGATCGTGCGTTTATTAATGACGCGAGGATATTCGTTTCAAAATATCTGCCCTCTTGTCTGCTGACCATTGTTCTCAAAGAAACAGGAAACTGAATCTGCAAAGTGAAAAAACAGGCGAACGAGGAAGACGGGACTCGAGAGCCTTCCACAAAGACGAGCAACGCAGCAAAAACCAACAGAGGAAACAGTCGATCAAATGCTGTGTGTCCAGGATATGGTGACTCTGGGCTCATCTAAACAAACCACAGCTATTCTATGGAAAAATGCCATGTGCATTCTTTTTATTTTTACACTCAAGCAAAGAATTCTTCAAATTCACATGCAAACACATATTTCTGTGTTTTTAAGTGGTTTTGTGTCAAAATAAAATAACCACACTTGATTCGTTTCCCCACTCAGCTACTATGACACACCTTATTTCTGAAGGAGGCTCCCAGAGAAAAAAACTGGAGAGTTCAGTTTAAATAAAACTTCAATAAAATACACCAACAGAGGTAGAAAACTTCTAAAGTCTGTCCAGTTTGTTCTTTTAAAGAACTAAAGATGATTTAGTTCAGTTTTACCTTCAAAGCAACAACAGAAGAGTATGAAGAAAATCTGTAAAATTATAAGAGCGGATGAAGAAGATGATAAAAGTATAATCCCAGAGAGGCCTCCTGTCTTTGACTCTTTCCAACACTTTGGGTGGTGCTCAGTCATGTAGAAACCAGCTGATGAAGGGTAAGAGCCTTTTCAGCTCCTGCCTGACCAAGATTTATTGCCCTGTTGCTTACATTTTGAAAAACATGGCTTTAGAAACAAAACGGCCACAAATAATCCTAACTTTAATCTCCCAGATTTATAAATCGGATCTGTAACCACAAACCAGATTAAAAAATGATGAAAAAATTAGTTACTTAAACAACAGACATGCAAAAAAGTAAAATAACTTACCCAAAAAATAAAATTAAGGAAGAATAACATATATTTTATGCATTTCGTACAGCCCGCCACAGCCATGTTGCCACTTCGTATGAGCTGGTTCCTGTTGCTCCAAATGAAAGAATCTATAAATCCAGTCTACTTCCACTCGGTCTGCACCAGAAGAGACTGTTTGACTCAGGCCAGTTGGGTTCAGTGTCTCACAAACTCCTCCTTTATAAAGAAGAGGGGGAACCCAGACAAGGAACTGCCCACAAATCTGGAGCAGACAGGAGAAGGCTGAGCGGACAGAGGGAGGAAGAGCAAAGTTTAAGTAAAGTAGTGAGTGAGTAAGAAAGGAAAAAAGCAAAGAAAAACAGAAAAAGATTTACAAATTTTCTGAATCACATGAAATAAGTATTTTGGAAGGAAAAAGGATGAAGAAGTCCTGCACTGTGTAAAAGAAAATCTAATGTGGGTGTTGAATTAAACAATTGTTTTAAGGTAAATTTAAATATTCTGCAGGTTTTGTTGAATAAAAGCAATATGATAAATCAATCAGGACACTGTTAAAGCCAATTTAATAACTGTGCTACTTTTGACTGAATAAAAGTTTTCTCTGGGTGCTTCCTGTACTCGTGTGGGTTACTCCTGAGTATAAACTGTATATATTTAGACATCCAAACAGAACCTGGATGCTGAACCTGGAGCTGGACCAGCTTCTCTGTCGGCTGATTCCAGTACAAGTTATGATCCCGCCTCCTTCATGTAAACAAACGAGACATTGCTGTAAGTAAGATCTTCAAAGCTCAACCTCCAATGAATTTTTTCAGGTGATGATTCCTGTAGTTCTTACCTTGCTGCATGCAGTAAGTCCAAATATTCATTTTCAAAAACTGTTTTGTTGAAACTGGTTATTTCGTGATTTAAAAGAAAGGTGACGTGACACAATGTGCAAGAAAGTAAGCGGAACTGTTGACATATTTGGTTAAGTAAATTCAACATTCAGGTTTTGGAGTGATTGCAGCTGCCATAAACCAGGTCCTGCTAACTTCAGCTCCCAACAACAAGAGGAGACAGACACAAAGGTTATAGTTTATTTATTTGGTTTCACAATGTATACAAAGAAGGAATTTTTCATATTAACAGATAATCAAGCTGCTATTAGAGCTCTCGAAGAGCCACACTTTATGTCAGTGGTGTCGCATTCATTTTCACCGAGGGCCAAGTGAGATGTATGGTGGCCCTCAAAGGGCCAGTTGTAATTAATTATAACGTTTTGTGTTTAACTTAAACTACAAAGAAAATGTTACATTCATCTCATTGCTGCTGAGCACTGCTTACAAACAATAACAGAGCTCTACATGGTATTTCCTGCATAGAAACAGTGTTTTAACACGTCCTCTGTTGTGGTAAGTCCTGAATTCTAAACCCACTGTCTGACAGGGAATTCCTGCATAATCGACACGCATTATGGGAGATATAGTTTATGGTCATTGCTGGCTTTAAAGCAGTTTATTTTAAGACAATAATACAGGACTATTCAACAAAATTGCTCAGGGGGCCGCAGTCACTCAAAGCCAATGGCTCAGGGGCCAGACAAGCACTTTGTATCGCATTGCTGCTAAAAAGGTGCTTTAAATAAATGTTACCTTACTTTACAAGTCATATTAACCTTTATTTTTAATGTGTTTATTTTGTTACATTGAATTATAAATTTATAACTTACCATTGATATAAAAACTATTTCTTTTAAATCAAATACCTTTTTTTAGGGGGAGTGAGGGAGCCCTTTTGGCAGGCTGGACGAAAGTCACCCGCGAGCCTTGAATTTTACATATGTGCTTTACATATTTACTGGCTTAGGAGTGTGTCGAAGCATGGGGAGAGACAACAGTTACTATTCATTAGGTACCAGGACATACTGGCATTAATGGTAACGAGAGAGCTGACCACCTTGTAAAAGCTGGCAGCCAGGCCCACTTCAGAGGACCAGAGCCTGTTGTAGGTATCTCAACAACAGTCTGTAGGACTGGTCTACAGGCCTGGATCAGATGTCAACACTCAACCTGCTGGAGGGAGCTGACAGACTGTGGACAGGCGCAGGAACTGATAAACGGGCCAAATCTTAGCTTTGGGAAAACTCTCATCAACCTGAAAAGGAAAACTTTAAGAATACTGGTTGGAGTCCTAACAGGGCACAACCTGCTCAACCACCACAAAATGGTGATGGGACTCCATGACAATGGTCTGTGTGATGCCTGTGGCATTGAATTAGAGACCTCGTTGCACTACTACTGCCTGGCTCTGAGCAGTCAAAGGAACAGAATTCTTGGGGACCCCTTTATGGAGCCTGAGAAGCTCAGAACACTGTTTCTAATCTTATGTCCTTCACAACTGACATAAAGGTTTGAATAAACCTCAGTGTGTTTTTGCGGAGAGCAATGGGTCCAAAAATAAGAACCCTGTTGGTTCTTTATCCTTCCCTACTTACCAACACCAAACGTGAAGGCAGATGTATATTAATTTTGACCATATTTGTCTGTGTGCATGTGTGTTCAGCATTAGCAAAATATCTCATAAACCACTTTTTTCAAATGATCAGTGGATGTATCTATAACTTATTACCTTTTGAAGTTAGTCTGATTTAAGATGGCCACTACAGAACAGCAATCTTAGGAAACAAAAATGACTTCATCTCTTAAGTATTTTACAAATGCTGTCCTAAAATGTTGTGTGGTATTAACAGAGAGTCATTCACAACACATACCTCAAGCACTAGCGCATCACTTTAGCTGTTACAGTTTCTTAAAGTTTTTTCTCGACTCTAAATTGATCTTAGACTAAAACTTTGGCACAAAAGGCAACAGGCGACTTGCATTCCTACAGGGAATGCACTTTTACTTGTAAACAACCAAGTCCAGAAGAATCAGTTGTTATAAGTAAAGCAGTATTCTTTATTTTAATCTGTAGTGTTACAAAGTGAGGAGCACCAGCAAACTTCTTTGCAGGAATCTTTAGCGCCCTCTAAAGTCAGATAAACCAGATGGCTGATAATTACATGAATCAAGTGCAGCGCACACAGAGTGAATATTAAACTCTGTCACTGCATGGAGCTGTTTCTGGACCCACTGTCATAATTCATCTGCAGCTCAAATCCAGCTACAGTTACAGACTGAGCTCTGACACATCTGTAAACCACAGAGCCACGGGAGGGGTGCCTGGGGCTTTTGAGGCGCATCTGCGCGTTCATGGCTCCGGGGGTCACACCGTCTCCAGACAGCTGTGCATGAGGACTGCAGCTGCTGCTCTCCAACCACAAGACTGAATGGGACGGGGCAGAAAAAGTGTATGACTTCATTAAATTGAAGGTGTTGTTTTAAAAGGCTGTAGCTTGTTCAGAAGCGTCCACTGGGCATGCTCAATGGAAGAGGCAGCAGGGCTCGGTGTGAATAACAGGCAGTGAGTTGGGGCGTTTTTTGGAGGAGGCATTGTCGCCCTCTCATCTTTGATTTTCTTTATTTGATCTCGAAGGAGCACTGATGTGAACGTTTTCTCTCAAACAGAATGCGGGGTATTTGTTTGTTGCTAAGGCGTGAGTGACAGGAGGCAGAGTCTCCGAGGTGTCTGCTGAGACAAAGACCTGCTGGTTTCAGCGGTGGCGTCAGAACGCAGAGAGGGAGCGAGATGAGCCGGTGAAGGAGGTGGGTCTGTAGGCAGCAGCAGCAGCATCAGGACCAGGCGCTGTCCGCTCAGCACCACCGCAGTCACCTTGCTGTGAAAGTCAGAAACCCTGCATCTGATCAAAACACCTCCACCTGCTGAATCCGACGAGCCTGGAAGAAAGCTGTTGTTTTATCCCGGCGATGTGACGTCTATTTCTAATGTGATCCCATTGGCTGCTATCGGCTTGGATTTCGACCCTTACACGAAAAGTCTCATTTTATTTTTTTATTATTATTATTTTTAAATAACCAATTTCAGATAATCCAGGTGCGTGCAGGTGCAGGGCTTTTAAGAAGGGAATGTAGCGCGGTGCGTGTCAAACAGCACCCCACGTCTCCAACTTACACCAACAGGCTGCTTCGTGCGTAAAATTATTCCCGCGAGTCTGATCGGGCGCGCCTAAAGGCTGACCTTTCGCGATGATGAGGGGAACTTATTGGAGAAATGCCTAAGGGACGCGATGGGCCTGAGCGACGACAAGGATCGCATTGTGATCAACGTGGGAGGGATCAGACACCAGACGTACCGCAGCACCCTGCGCACCCTGCCCGGCACGAGGCTCTCCTGGCTGGCCGAGCCTGACGCGCCCAACCACTTTGACTATGACGAAAAGATCGAGGAGTTCTTCTTCGACCGCCACCCGGGCGTTTTCGCGCACATCCTCAACTACTACCGGACAGGTAAGCTCCACTGCCCGGCCGACGTCTGCGGGCCGCTCTATGAGGAGGAGCTGGCCTTCTGGGGCATCGATGAGACCGACGTGGAGCCGTGCTGCTGGATGACCTACCGCCAGCACCGGGAGGCGGAGGAGGCCCTTGATAGCTTCGGCGGCGGGGGTCTGTTAGACCTGGGGAGCGAGGACCCGGAGCCTGAGCCGGATCACGAGGATGATGATGAGATGACAAGGAGGCTGGCTCAGGGGGACACGCATGACACCAGGACTGGCAGCCTGTGGAGCCGGTGGCAGAAACGGGTGTGGGCCCTGTTCGAGGACCCCTACTCTTCGAAATATGCAAGGGTGAGTGTTTTTGTTTTTAGCACATGTGATCATGTAAGAGTCATGGCAGCCAAATAGTTCTGAAATGTTTTATTAGTTTGAGCTGAATCAACAGAACACTTCATTAGATCACCTCCTGTAACTATAATTGATGAGTCCATGAGGTTCATGGAGACTTTATTTTGTATTGGGGTCCACAGGAAGCAGCAAGTCATTAAAAGCCTAAAATTCTTTAAATGAATGCATATCACCTGCTGACTGTTAGACAAGAGATTTAAACTAAAATCATCTGTTGAGTCAGTTTAGTCAAACCTTGAAAATGCATATGTTGAATAAGACAAACTCCAAAATTTAATCAGCTAGCAGTTCATCCAATGATTATGTCTGGAATCTTTATTAATCTTTGCCCTGTGGTTCATGAGATATTTTGCTAACAGACAACCAGGGTTGACTCCAAGAGCTATTGCAAAAGTCTCAAATATTTTGCACAATAATGTTATTAATAACTTGCAGCTATACAACCTCACTAAACTGTAACTCAAGATGAATAGTTGTGAATTTTTAAACTCAGTTGGCTGTGGTAGCTGTCTTGAATTTAAAAAAAATCCTTTGGATTTAAAGAGACAGCATCAAAACGAGTTGATTTGAGACACTTCAGAAAAGAGGTGAAAGATGAGATTGTGGAGTTACATTAAGGAGGAATTCAGACCAAAGCATTGCAGTTCCACTTTATACAAACCCTGATTAATTAAAATGTGAAAAGGGAGGTTTTAAAAGCATTTGTCTCCTTTAAAACATTTCATTGGTTCAGGTTTTCCTAACAGACAGATGAACACATGCACAGGGTGGAAACATTATCACCTGCCTTTTGCCTTTCAGCGGCGGGCAGTAAAGACACTCATTCTGACTCCTAGAAGTTTTTGGATCGATGTTTCCAGGTCACAAGGATCTGTGGCTCCTCGGTTAAATAGGTCAGTTGCAAATTGAGAAAGCAGCTCTTTGGCACCGCCACAGTGTTTATGGCAAAGCTCCAGGTAAAAAAAATGAGGTTGCTATTTGAAGTGACATTTTTAGTTTTTGTTATGGGCTCATTTCCATTTGGGCAACAGAATTTTTTTTGACCATCATGTCCTCCTAAGACAACCGAGCTGCATGCTGTGTGAACAGCTGCGGCCACCTGACTGGTGCAAATATGACCAGCCAAGAGGTGTACACCAACAGGTTTTTACCCATTTTAAAAACAAATCACTGGATTGCATTTAATTTTCTTTTTTCAACAACGAAAATTCATCAGCGTCCCACATTCAACAGTGAGGACTGACAGAGAGCGACAAAAACTGGCAAGAAGATTAATTAGACTGGAGCTTCAGAGTTAATTACAGACTCTATTCACTGAGGATATAACAGAGGAAAGTCTTTGTCACAGCATCCAGCTGTAGACAGTGACAAGGTTTACCATTCAGGAGTAAAATTTAGCTCCAAAAATAAAACAAATTGTTGGCCAGCCACCCTCTTTTCAGGAAAATCTTCCCATCTGTCACATAGAAGCACAATTTAAGTGGTGTTCTGATAAAATGTGACATTTGTTTCATTGTTTGGAAAGTGAGATGTTCAGCAGGCGGACGGAGTCATCTGCAGTCAGAAAGTGATTTTGTCACGCTTTGGTTTGTTGTTGATGAACATCTTTTGTTTATTTTGTATTTATTTATTTATTTATTTATTTTTAGAAGTAACGGCTGTTGTACTCATTATGTTCTAAAGGAAGATTAGAAATTCTAAAAAGACACGTAGTCGATAATCAAACCAACAAGAAAAACACAACATGCAGCGTTGTTTGTTTGACTTTTCGCAGTCGAGTTGACATGAATTGGATTAAAATTTTAAGTAAGTGTGTTTCTTTGTTTTTGTGCAGAACACATTCCAGAGGGGGTGGACAAAACAACATTATGCAATCAGATAAAACACAAGCACTTGTTATGAAGGCTGAACACTTGAAAACTGTGTTTTTAAGGAATTCAGCTGTTTTGATAACATCTATCAGAGAAATGCAAATATGCAATGTTTTTTTTAAAATCTTTACTCTTAAAAAAGTACTGTTTTGGACAAAGTGCTCTGTATTGTACGCATGTCACTTAACGACACTATGACATATAGGCGTAGCAGGGAAGTGAACCTGTGACTTTCTGTTTAGCTGTGCTACCACTGCTCCACAGCTGCCTCATTGTAAACAACTGTGTAGACAGATTTCTAGAGTCAACTCTTTCAGTCCCTGTTGGAACATTGCAATAATATGGAAGGGAAGCAGACATTCATAAGCAGAGATTTCCTCAGCACAGTGGTGATGAGATATTCTAATGAGGGTCTGTTTTCCATCCTGCCTCGCTGTGAATGGCTGCGAGTCGACTGTCACAGAGGCAGAGATGAACAGACAGCAGAATTCATGCCCAGACTTGCCCATTTTCAACTGACATCTTCCCTTCAGCTGCTCATTATTCTTTACTGCTCCTTAACAACACTGTGAATTAGTTTAAGAGGCACTACAAAGCCGGACATTTGCACGCATAACCAAACTGCTATTGATCCGACTTTTGCATTTTATTGGATGACTATCCTCTCTTCCTGCTTTATTTTCCTGTCCAGCTCTGGTTCACTCTCCTCCCTGAGGATGCAGCTTCTCTTAGTGTCTAGTAAAAAAAATAATTAAAAAAATCCTGAGCAGTAAGACATGCCAACCCATTCTCACTCCCGAGTCGTCACATATTGACGTTTTTCAAAGGTCCCTTTGCGTCCAATTTTGACGCATCAGGTACCCCCCTTGCGTCATATTTTGACGGGATGGGGCGGAATCTGTTGTCGTAATTTCTGAAAGTGTAGAAAATGCACAAATACTACCGTCCCAAAGCGTGAAATTACGTTTATTCACTTTAGACATCCTGTCCCAGACCCTAGTATCTAAAATTAACCATTAACCCTGATACATAAAATTAACCATTTTTAGAAAATGTAGGAAATTCATGGCAACTACGTGTTGCAAAGCCTAAAATTACCTAATGTTCTCTGTAGACATCCTATCCCTGACCCCAGTCCCTAAACTTAACCATTTATCCTGATCCCTAATGTTAACCTCAGACCCCCGACCCAAAGACCCCTGGTGGCGCAACCCGGAAAAGCCGCGGGCGGCAAGGACTGACGCGAGGGGGGTACCTGATGCGTCAAAATTGGACGCAAAGGGACCTTTGAAAAACGTCAATATGTGACGACTCGGGAGTGAGAATGTGTTGGACATGCTGTAAACGAACACAGTGTGAGAGGAAGATTACGCGAGGAAGATGAGTGCAGGGCTGCAATCAATGACTTGAGAAAAAACAGTATTTGTTGCACCCTTGTTGTATTCACCAGAACTCTCTGAACCTAAATGTGATGAAATCTGAGAGTCTAATCGATACATAATGAAGGCTAAAGTACTCTTTTGCCATTAAGGGAATTATGGGTTTCTCTAAGTTTCCAGTGATTCCCAAGAGCTGATCATCAGGACAGTGTGACCTTGTGGAGGGAAGACCTACTGTAGGGATAATGCTGAAGGGAAGAGCCCGGGCTAAATTTAGCCAAGAGGGTTGACACTAATGTCCTGTTTGCCAGTACTGCTGCTGCTGGCTCTGTGTAATTCTGCATATAGGACGCCCATGAAAATACCACAACCTTGAGCCACAACAAAAAGCAGGAGAAAGGAAAGAGCAAGCTTGCTCTGATGGTCCCTTTAACAATGACACTTGAGTCAAAGAGATTAGTCACTGTCAAACTAAATGTTGTTGTGTGAGATGCCATGATATTGTGTGAGAAATTAGATTGAGCTGCTTTGTGTCCTTCTAAGAATGGAGAAAGGCATCAGGCTTGATTACATTGTGTTACTGTGCTCACTTTCCTCTCTGTCCTTCTCCCCCCTCCTCTTCCCGCTCCATTTCTTCCTCTGCACCCTGTTTTTATTTTCCAGTGGATAGCTCTGGCCTCATTGTTCTTCATTCTGGTGTCCATCACCACCTTCTGCTTGGAGACCCATGAAGCCTTCAACCCGATCATGAACCGCACCGAGGAGGAGCTGGTGGGCAATGAAACGGTGGTGAGCACCTACCAGGAGACCGAGACGGCCATCTACCTCACCTACATCGAAGGCGTTTGTGTGGTGTGGTTCACGTTTGAGTTTCTAATGCGAATAACTTTCTGCCCGAATAAATTTGACTTCATCCGAAACGCGCTGAACATCATCGACTTTGTGGCCATCCTGCCCTTCTACCTGGAGGTGGGCCTCAGCGGTCTCTCCTCCAAGGCGGCTAAAGACGTGCTGGGGTTCCTGAGAGTGGTCCGCTTCGTGCGGATCCTGCGTATCTTTAAGCTGACCCGTCACTTCGTAGGGCTGCGTGTGCTGGGCCACACTCTGAGGGCCAGCACCAACGAGTTCCTGCTCCTCATCATCTTCCTCGCTCTAGGTGTCCTCATTTTTGCTACTATGATCTACTACGCCGAACGCATCGGAGCCAATCCCAACGACCCGAGAGCCAGCGAGCACACGCAGTTCAAGAACATCCCAATTGGATTCTGGTGGGCCGTGGTGACCATGACGACCCTTGGCTACGGAGACATGTACCCGCAGACGACCTTTGGTATGCTAGTCGGAGCCCTGTGTGCCCTGGCAGGCGTCCTGACCATTGCCATGCCCGTCCCTGTGATTGTCAACAACTTTGGAATGTATTACTCTTTGGCCATGGCGAAACAGAAACTACCAAAGAAAAAAAACAGGCACATCCCTCGGGCGCCCCAACCAGGTTCTCCTAACTACTGTAAGTCCAGCATCAGCTCCCAGCATCCAAGCCCCATACCCCATGACGATGTCTTTGAGATCAAATTCCAAGGTAAGAAAACAAATCAAACACAAAATTAGATTCTCTAGCTTCTCTTTGCTCTTTGGTTTATCACCATTCAGCAGATTCACTGTCTGGTCCCACACATCAATCAGCCAGTGATTCAGACACAATATTAAACAAATGAATGAAATTCTGATAACCAACCACAGTATAAAACACTGAATGTAATGAAAAGCATATTTGACTCTTGATAAAAGAACACAGAGACCATGAGTAATCTTGTTATTGATTTTGCACTTCTTAATGCAGTGATTCACCCCTCCTCTGTCAAGACTGAAAGGATGTAGTTGCAGTGTTAAGAACAACCATTAGTAGATGCTAAATGACTTACTGTCCCTCTGGTGAAGTCAGTGCAAAAGATATATTGACCTTTGGAGCTGTTTGTGCACAAAAACATGCAAAGCTTCCAATGGATTTTTTTACAAACAAAAAAAAAAATACCGTTTTATGAGCTGTTTATGTATCTGTCGACTTTTGTGTGGACAGATTTAAACCCTTAGATCTGATGTTTTTAAGCGTGGTTCAATGAAAAGTTTTTAAATAATATTTAATTTTGGTCTTGGCCCTTGTTGGATTAGCCACTAGCTTGTCAATCCAGTCAGAATTCATCTTTATGGCAGTGCCTCAAGTCAGAGGTAGTTACGTCACTGGCCCATGCCGAAGTCCGTCCCATTTCATAGGCTCTTACTCATGAGGCCAACAAAACCCCAAAAGGGAAGGCTGCATCTGAGTATCCTTTGCGGCTGACAATATTCCAGGATTCATTGCTCCTTCGGCAAACTAAGGAAACGAAGATGGCAGAGTTTTGAAATTCATCAAAGACCAAATAATTCATTTTTAAATGTATGTTTAGCTACTTAGTGATGGAACTTCTGTTAAATAAAAAGCAACTACAAGTACTGAAACTGGAGCTAAACCCAAATTATTAATGTTTTCTGTTTATTTATACATTTTTAATAATACACTGATTTTTGTGAACTGTTATACCTCATGTGAAAAGACATGTTAATTCATGTTGCAACACATTTTGAGTCTGAAGGCTTGTGATATAAAACATAGCACCATGGTAAAGGGATAGTGTGTGGCCACTCGAACGTAGGTCATCTCAAAACTAGACCATCTCATTTCAGCGCCGTTATATGCAGCCTGGACTTCAAAGGGTGTGACCTATGTGGGCCGTGGTCTACGTGGGCTGTAACCCCTAAATTGAGACACAACCTTTTTCTTTCGGCCAAAAAGCTCTCTACAACAAAGAGGGTACTAAATGTTCATAACTTCTGAAGAACGAAAATCTGAGCGATTACGTTGAGTAGGTATTAAATGGGATGCAGAATTTAAAAAAATCTGACTTTGTTTTTCTTTTGTCTCATTAATAGACTCCAAACTGAATGGTGAGGCAGCAAACGCAGCTCTGGCCAACGAAGATTGCCCACATATAGACCAGGCCATATCTCCAGAGGAAATCTTCAGCCCCAGTGAGAGAGAGCGGCCCTGCTTCTTGGTCACCACCGCCGAACGTCCCAACCACACAGGGGGCAGAGTGAAGAGGGGTACGTACAGTAAAAGCCAGTCACAGGGCCCCCCGAGACACTGACACCCTGTACACCGTAGACACGACACACTCCTTTTGTTGCCTCTGTTTTTCATTGGCACTGACACAAACACACAACAACAACCAACCTCACACTCTTTCACAACAGCTGCTTTCCCTCAATCACCCTGCTGGGCATTGTAAATTTATAAATATACGTAAAAGTTCCAACCCACGCACATTCAGGTCAAGCACAATCACCAGAAATTTTTGTCCACATCTACATAATATATTTTTATACCATGCATAATGTAATTATTCCTATTTATTTACCACAGTAAGAAAGCTATTTTTGAAATTTCTATGATCTAGAATATGTTGTCATACATGCCTAAGGGAGTGTTTATGTGCTACACGTGTATCATGTATGTATATGTGTTTTAATGATAAATAACATGTTGACTTATGAGAGCATTCCTCTTGACCATAACAGTGCATGAAATGTCTTGCTGAAGGGTGCTATCAGTATGGTGGAGGAGCACAACACAAACAGCTAATGTCATTATTATGTACTCATATCTTTACTTATAATGATAATAAATCCTGTTTTAACATTTCTATTTAATAATTCTTTTTCTAAAGTCATGTAAGGAAGGCTGTGTGCAGTAAATGGCAGACAGTGTGAAATTCAACTTGTAGCTGAGGGTACATTTCCCGCCTGGGGTGACTACCTTAATTGACTTTTTCCTCTGTGTTTTACTCCGAACCATGCCAGTACCACCCGGTGCATGTCATTGTACTCCTGATGCACTCAATGCATGGAAAACAACAAGTTGTCTCAAGTCTGTGTTTGACCTGTTTCTTTGGAGACAAAAACAAGAAAGCAACAGGTTTAGGATACATTGAGCAGTGAGAAATACCAAAATAAACATTTTGTCATGGATTCAGTGCTGCAGTGTACTCAGAACGTTCTCTGTTTTTCAACTGAAGGTTATGAAAAGCCTTGGAGCCTTAACAGCATGTCTGGCATGAGCGGGGATGCCTCTGGAGTGTCCTCAGTGTCCGCCCTGCCCTGCAGCCCACCCTGTCTAATGCAGCACTCACATTCTCCCATCCCATCCATTATGTAGCATGGTTGAGTAGCAGACACAATGCCATTGGAAGGCCAGTCCACACTTCTTCTTACCTTTCCTGTCAGATTTTTTGCTTTTGACACTTGCCTTCGCTCCTGCTATATTCTTTGGTTTTGTTTTGTTGTTTATTTATTTATTTGTTTATTTTTACATTTTTGTTTCTGGAAAACTGTATCTTAACTGTGCTGATACTCAAGCTTCCCAAGTGTTTCACTTGGGTGTGTCATCATATCCTAGACTAGACAACATTGGCACATGCCACTCTGCATGGGTCATCTCAGCTGCAGACAAAGCTCCGTTCTTCTGCAGGCTAACTCCACTCTTTTTTCCCTGTGTTGACATCATTGCCTGTTGCTCTGTTGCTTTTGATCTCTCATACTCTTCTGCTAACAAGTTGGATCTCATTTGCTTTTTTGTTTGTTTTCTTTTTTTTATTATTCTGTGAACTAAATTTTCATGAGATGTAAGCCCTGCTAATAGTATGCTGGAAATCAATATTTCATGGCTTTTTTTAGACATATCCAAAAGCTGTTAAGGCAATTCTTAAGTGCTTTGTGCGTTGCAAAGTAGAGACGTTTGTTTTATTTTTATTCTGAAGTGCAATCCTGACAAGACTCAATGTTAGCTGAGTGGCCACTATTGGGAAAAAAAAACATTCGAACATAATGTTCATGGTGTCCAATGCAATATGGAGTTGATGAAAATTCTTATGATTCCAATGATTCTAATGTCAACTGAACTACAACTGTTATTTTGCATGATCTGCATGAGAAATTATGTTCACTGAAGAAGCTAACTGTAATGCAGTACCTGTAAGATTTTTTTTCTTTGAAAATCTGATGAAGCTTTGTCATTTTATGCATTCTGAGAGAGCTTTATAAGAGACTCAGTCATAGCAGAGATTTTTATGTAGCTGCCATTCTTTGCCTTTCCCCAATTTCATCTTATATTTTCTTGTACTCATTTGACTGGGGCCTCCAGAAAAAAAGACATACATAGAGAGAGTGATTTAACTTCAACAATCTGTGATAAAGCCAACCGATGCTGTTTTGAGCATAAATCCTTTTTTTTACAATTATATTTACTGGGTTTTTAAACACTATTAGTAGTCTGCAGCAACTTTTCTTATTGCTGTTAACTGATGCAGGACTATAAACCAACACAAAAACAAAGGTGCCTTCATATGTGGTGAGGCAAAGTAATTAATTGACACAATATTATACTAATGTTCCCAGTGTAGCATCACACCTAACCATGCTCATAACAGTGTAAGAAAACTTTATTTACATTCAGGGGTACCTTGTACCTTTTGCACTACTTTCAAAAAGTCTTTCACAAATGTCCTCTTGGTTTCGATTACTAGAACATGTACTAGGTTCTCACCTTTAGAGCAGCGGTGTCCAAACTTTTTGACATGTGGGCCAAACTCATCAAATTGAAAGTACTAGCAGGTCGAAAACCCTAACATTTTTTATCTAAAAAAATTGTAAAATGCAACTCTCAACAGCAATGGAAACATTATTTTAAGTATCCTTATTATAGTGGGAAATGAGTTCTAAATTGTTCTAAAGCATAAAAGGCCTTTCAAACATTCACCTTTTTAAAAGACAAGCATTCAGTTCCTTTGATTTGTTGTTTTTTAATTTTCTTGTGGTTGAAAAGTATATTTTAGTCTTATCTTGGGAACAAAAATGTAATGTCTTTAAAAATAGTCTATAAAAAGTGGTAGCTTGGCCTTGCAGCCTGTTGAAGTGAACATTTTGTTCATTTGCAGTTTAAAACACACAACCATGGCTGGCCCATGCTAAAAGGGTATCAAAGCACTGAAAAAGTGTGTGTGGGTTTTAAAAGACACTGATGATCTTTTTTTAATACTTCATATTCCATTAAGACCATTTTCCCAGTTTCATTGATAAAATCAGCAGAAAATTATTTATTTTACTCAAAAAATACTTTTTGCTTTTAGCCATGTTTTATAAAGTCTACTAAAAGGTCTACATTTTGGTAAAAGTTGGTAAAACCTAGTTGTCATTTTTGTTGTGAAATTATAATTTTCAACTTATTTTCTTTGTTAATTATAAAATTATTATGCTTAATTTTGCTCTGAATTAACCTCATAGGCCTCCATGTGAAATTATACTTTCTTAAATTGAAGTCACAGGCTGCACAAAATCACTCTGAGGACCACAAATGGCCCATGGGCTGCACTTTGGATACTCCTGCTATAAAGGGACACATATACAAAACAATCTGAGTCAATATTCTTCGTTACTTGTAAAAGAAAGCACAAACATGGTGAAAAAGGGGGACCAAGAAACTCTACAGAAGCCAAAATATATCAAAGTATTGATCAACCAGCTGATTCCTGCTGTTTGTATGTCTGCTGATTTAAAAGGTCAATACTTTTCCATGTATTGATCCTGTCCCAATATTTATGCACAAGTTTTTTCAGGGCACTTTATCAGATCCTATAGACCAGTCAGTCACATTCATCACTGGAGAAAAAAAAAAGTAAATAGCACTTATAGCAACTTGTCTAAGTTTAGTTTTTATTCTGAATGAGCAGAGTTTTACATTTCAAGTCGTGTCTCTTTGTGGTGATTAATGAACTTTATGTATTTAAAAAAAGAAACATTGTGTAGATTTGATGTGAAGAGATGCAGTTGACAAATGGTGATACATTCCAAGTGGGGGGAGAGAAAAAAAATAATTCAATATGACAGTATCTGATTCTGATGTGGGTTCACTTGGGGAAAGGTAAATGCATGTATTTTATTTACATTTATGCAAAGAAAAAGTATTCAAATAAAATATGTAAATACGAGTCCTTGCATGAAATAAATTTTATACACAACGAGCATTTAGACTTTGTATTTATTCAGCAGCACATGCATACATTCCTTCCTTTTCCTACTGCTTACTTCACCCTCCAGCCACTCAAGTTGTGGTTAAAGAGAGTTTAACAATAAAATAAAAATAGGGGGGGATTTGAGAGCATGATGTAAAGTCTAGAAACGCATGAAGGGGACTGAACTACTCGACGTCAACCTTTTAAATCGCAGCATGATTGGGCATGTTCATTAACCGACCCAAGAGTCCAAACCTCTGCACTCAGACCGTAACTTGGTGTCCGACGCCTTGGCTGAGCATGGGAACACATGGTAAACCCTCCGTTTACCATGACCAACTAACGGAGCACATTTTCTTTACTCTCCATCAACGCCATCACTTCCACCGTGCCGCATAATTTGTGTAATAATTTATTTTTGTTATTGTTTTTTTGTTTTATATGTTTATAGAGACCCAACGACAGCACCGGAGCAGACAACCAACAGAATCAGTTTGTGTCATGAACCATGGTGTACCAACCACTATGTGTATGACCCATAATGGCCCATCACCCACTTGATAGTGCAGTAGCATTTTTGTTTGTTTGTGCGTGTAAAACTTAGTATTTTTGAAATGGGTGTGACAGTGACAACCTGTACATCACAAACTCAGCATAGATGTAGCACTGAGGAAGTTTTGTTGTCAAGCCTTATGTAGATCAGTATTTGTGACTGGTTACTGTGTTGTAATTTGTGTGCCTATTTTTATTTATTTGTTATGTGTGTGTGCCAGTGCTGTAAATACGCCTTTTTTATGTGTGTGCTGAAGTTGTGTGTACCAATGTTTTTGAGAGATCATCAAATATTTGTGTGCTTCTTGTGCTGAAAAAAAAAAAATGTTGCTCCGATTTTAGTCACACCCCTTTTAGTGTAAACAAACAAAAAAAAAATAGAAGTATCACTTGTCTCGTCAGCCAGACCTAACAGATGACAACAAATGGTTAACTTTGCACTGTCACGGTCACAGTTTTGTAGTTTTGCGCTGTTTTGCACCAGTGAACTTTTAACATTCCTTTGGTATGTTTTCTTAGGCATCCTAGAGATAATATCCACAAAAGGTTGCACTAAGACAAATAGGGTAATTTTTCAATGAAGCACCACTCTTACCTTGTTATGAGGGTTTAAAAGGGATAGTTCAGACCTTTTGAGGAAGAGTTCTGTGTTAAATAATTTATGTTTTACTTATAGGTACTATATTTATGCACGTGTAATGTGAAAAATGTAGCCCCAATAAACATCCATAGTTAGAGGTTTGTGTTATACAAAAGAATAATTTTGACCCATTTTCTGCTAATGTATTTTGACAATAAATTTCTATATTTTCTTCTAATTGGAAAATTGCGTTGTGGGGGATAAATCATCAGAATTTCTCCCACTGTAGAATAAGTCATGCATAGCTGAGGCTCTTTTTGTTGGATGAGGAGTCAGAGGAGGAAAAACTTGTATTTTTCTTATTCTTCCAGGCCGACACTAAATAAGAACTTGTTCTTAGTGTCTTGCCTGGTAAAATATAGGTTACATGAAATTAAAAAAAAAATAACTAAATTGTTAACTGTGGAGATGGAAAGGTGTGGACATCAGTTCCACAATCGAATATTTGAGGACCAGATGAGCTGCTCCTCGAAACAGAGCATAAAAAATCCTATGTATGAAATTAGTGGTTATAAACATGAGGATTCGATTTTTTCATGCTTTTTAAGCTAAAAAAAAATAGGGGATGTTGCATTAGACTGGAATCGCATAAATAAAAAATTATTTGAAGAAATAGATTTTAATTCTGACCAAACTGTCACGCTAAAAGCTAGTCTGAGTGTGGCCAAGACCAAAACAGATTGCTGCCAAGCTAAAACTCCAGTCTCAAAGACTTTAACGCTACTTTAGAAACTTTTACATTGATGTCTACTTCCCATTCCAGCAGAAATATTAAATTTTCTGCATCAGAAGCTCTACAGCATCAATAGCTTCTGTTGCTGCTGTCTGCTTACTTGCAAATAACCTTGTAATACAAAAACTGGTAGCAGTGTAAATATTTATAAAACTGCATATACATAAACCCCTATAAAGTCTTTGAGTTGAGATTTTTCTTTTAAGACACAAGCCGTCCACTTTGTTTGTGGTCCCACTTGAACTAGACAACAGCTTGTCAGTGCAGTCAAAATTAAATTTTTTCCAAACTGTTTTTTTTTCTCCAGAAGCTACATTTCAGGGAGCAAAGTATTTGGCCACACCAGACCGTCTTTGTTTTGAAATAGAAACATTTTATTATGGAGGTCGGCCCCTTTTATTCAGCTTTGCCAGCTTACACTGTTCTTAGAAAGCTTTTCACAAGTTTTGGGGATTTTTCTGTGGGAATTTGTGCCCAGGCTTGTGCACTGAAGCACAGTCATGTTGAAACAGAAGGGCATGCCCCCAAAATGTTTGTTTAAAATGTAACAATGTGTTGAGACATCATTTTGGATGAAATCCTAACCCTGACTGAACCAGTTGAATTCAACATTTACCAGGTGTGGCGAAACACTATAATGTCCAGATCTTTAACAGGCATTGATTGTTCACAGCCTCTCAGAACCTACTTTAAAAAGTCTGAACTGTTCCTTCAAGATAACAAGCTGCCATGAAAAATAATTATTAAAAAAGTCATTCACACAGTTAAATGTGTGCTTTGATATAAAAGTGGTTTATGCATAAAATATACAGTACCATTCCATATTTTTGACCTTTTTAATCTAATTATGCAGTAGAGTAGTATTTTTATTGACAATCATGTGTACTTGGATTTTGTTTTCATGTACATATGAGCATTGATGTAATAGTATGTAATGCCAACGATGGCCAAATCATTTTCACCAAACTGGACAAGTGCCTCTGATATGCAATTTCCTCACAACCTTTAGGAGACTAGACTACAAGACACCTAATGATCAATAAATTTCATCATTAGTCACCAGCCATTATAAACATTAGTTTTGTACTCAAAGGCATACGAAATAATAAGCCCACCCCCCAATGTGAATCACTTCCTAACATCAAGCAGTGAGCGTTACTAATTACAAAACTAAGCATCTGGATCTTGTTTGTGTAGAAAAGTTAGCGAGAAGGGACCAACTTTTTAAACCAAACAACTGCAAACACACTGCCAACACCTTCTGAATGCAGTCGATCACAGATGATTTTAGCCTGCCAGTAGAGATGAGCACAAACGGGGGGACAGTATGCTGGTCATTGTTCAACAACAACAACAATAACAATAATAATAATAATAATAATAATAACAAACAATAACTAAATAGATGCAGCAGCTGTTATTGTGGACAGAACAAAAAAAACAAGGCAAGAAATATGTGCCGTTTAGCGAGATATTAGTGTGTGTGTTTTGAACACCGTGCAAATTGTGGTTATTTATCTCAGTGAGGTGTTCAGTGGTCTTTTTGATTAATTTGATGTTTAGAGATTTATTTTAATATTATTATTATTTCTTTTTTGGTGGTGTCTTTTTTGACAGATACAATTCAGACTTGTACAATAAATAGTGATAAATAAAAAACACAAATAATCAGGTTTCAGTGAGTGTTGATTTATTTATTTATTTTTTTACAAATCCAAGTAAAGTTAATTTTCATTCATGCATTATTTCAGCGATGTAAATATTTCACCCAGCCGAAGTGCCCAAAACAGAACTGAAAATATAAGGAAAGAAAACAGGAAGTGTAAGGCAGACATGAGCCTTCCTGCATCTTTTCAATGTCTTTGACAAAAAAAGAAACTAATTAGGAACTTTGGTTTTATCCAGGTGCTGTGCTCTTCATGTCCTCTGCTTCAAAATATATAATGCAGTAAATAATCATCACCAATGTGAGCCAACTAGAAACAGAAGTAGTAAAAATAAATGTATTACCAAAAGAGGAAATTAATATTCTGCTAATTGACATGAATATAAATTGCTTGGAGACTTAAAAACAAGAAAAACATCATTGTTCTGTTTGTTTTAACAAGTCCTATGGTAAGAAAGATTTTTTTTCTAAATTAAGTGCAGAGATTAACTACTTCCTGAAACTCATGACAGCAATAAATCCTGTCATAGGAAATTAATCCAGAACAGTTTCAATATGAAAGACTAACAGATGTGCAGCTGTGGATACAGTTGTCTCTACTAAACTCCAGATGAATAATGAGCCATAACTGTGTCCAAACACAGGAATATTATGACAACTACAGATTAAAGTGTGAGCTCAGGAGGATGTTTATAACAGTGAAGGTTTCTCAGCTTAAAGGGAACTTGAAATGATGGCATGAAGTCTTTGCGAAACACCAGTAAACAACTAAAGAAAATTGTCCCCAATTCCCGCAAACCATTCTGTTTTCTGTAGTCTGTCTTTCTGTCCAGTTTGTGCTCCGGCGCTTTTCATGTGGAGTCAGTTCTGTCCTGAAGCAGCTGACACACTGCCATAGAGTGCCCGGCTCCGCAGCCAACGAGAACAGGTCTCAGATCAGAAACGAGCCGAGGCTGAAAGACGTCAGCCTGAGAACCGTCTCCACACATGCCGTGCTCGTTCCAGCCCCACGAGAGGAGACGGCCCCCTGAAAACCAGAGCAAGTTTACGTCAGTGACAGGAGGGGAGGAGGTGGGGTGGTGAGGGGACAGAAGTGTGCAATGTGGCTAAAATTAGTAGCCTACCGAAAATAAATAAATAAATAAATAAAGAGGCTGGGTGCAAAAAACAAAAAAGCCCAAGACTGAATACATGAAAAGAACAGAGGGCTCACAATCACACGCAGAGCTCCTCTGATCTCGACACTCGGCCGGCAATAAAGCCTCCCCGCTCTTCACAGCTGGTGAGCTCGTTGGGTGGGTGTGGTCAGGCCCGCATCACCGAGGAGACACGTGCCATGGCAACACAGTTACCTAACCGGCTCCGTTGCCATGGCAACAGAAGCGAGCTTGCCTCCTCGAGGGTAACACGTCTTCGAGCTCCTCTCGTCGTGAGCTTTTCATGTTTTCACACAATGTCACGGAGCCAGTTCCTCTTGTTTTCAGCCGGTCACTCGGACATTTGGAGCCTCCAGCAGACACGTATGCTTCCACCGGTTAGCGCAGAGATATCACGCCAGCAAGCTTATGTCGGCGTGACTTTCTGCCAGAGACAGCTTTCGCATTACAAAAGCACTTGTAGCCCCGTCTTTAAGATCCAGCATGAGTCCATAGGCAGACTGCATGATCTCTGGTTCAGTGCATTCAGTAAACAGTTCTTACTGTCGGTAAACTTCATGTGTTCAAGCATGCTCTTGGAGGGGAAAGAAGAAAAAAAAAAGCTTTATTAACACTGTGCTTAATTCATGGATTCACTGACTAGAGTACAGCACATCAGTGTTTCCATGGCAACAAAGTGCCAGCACAATACTCTGCACAACAAAGCCATTTCCTGGTAAACAAATCCGTTCACAGATTTTCCAATTGGACTTTTTAAAATGTTTCACACCCAATAACAAAACCTCAGTGACATCATCTGCAGGGGCTGCTTCTCCGCCCCCACCTTTTTTTTATATCCAAACTAACTTGCATGAATCTAAAGGTGGAAGTAAATAAAGTTAAGTCTAAGGTGTTTGTGCTTCCACAGTAGAGTTTAGGTGTGCTATTCACATGAGCGTTTTCCCCTCAGATTGGATGAGCTGTGCCCACAGAGTCTTTGGCCTGTCTCCCAGCTCTGACCGCCGATGATGAATTTCATGCGTGAGGACCACTGGCTCAGGTGCGAACGAGCCCGGGCCGAGCAGGCAACAGATATCATAAAGCAGCGTGCAACGCTCTTTATTCTTTTCCGCCTGACCTACTTCAGCACCAGAAATAGCAACGCTCAGGTCTCTGCTTCCAATCCTGTTTTGCTATTTCACTGCTCCTGTCACCAGAGCTGAGACACAAGAAGAGAAAGGAGGAGGGAGCGTAGCAGAGGAGCGACATTATGGAAGTTCACACCAGCCCTGCTCTCATCCATTACATGAACTTTTAAAGCACCAAACAGCGCTTATGGCCAACTTTTGCCAAGATGGACGGTCATTGCTAAAACGCTCCCTCACTGCATGTCCGTTATTATTTCACGGCTGATCAGCAAGATTGAAAGCAGGTGGCATGCATGTTTATGGCGATACCAGCAATGTTCAAGTTTCCTCTCTAATGGAACTCCTGCATTTTTAGTGTTCATCTGTGGTATTTTTATATTCATGCTGATGTAAAAAACTGGGTCGCTGTTCAAAATTTAATGTGAGAGACTTTACATCCAAAATGTTTCACATTTATACTTAAAAATTTGGAAAGGCAGAAACGATTTATGAAAAGTATTTTTCTTAAAGCACACTTAATCTCTACAGGATTTGATGTAGATCACTAATCACTGTTTGTGGCTGTAGTGAAAATGATTGAAGCTGCTCTCTAACCATTTAACCAGAAAAAAAAGGCAGTGCCTGTAAATGTGGTTAATATAGCTTCTTCAAAAGCTTGTTGGGGTAATCGCCTCTGTCGATGATATCCATCTGTAATGTTGTAATTACTGCTTGATGAAGAGCCACAGAGCAAAGAGCCGACCTCAAAACCTCTCTGCAGCTTTACTCAGATTAACTTTTTACACTGTGCTTCAATTATAATGTATTAGATAGTTCCCTTACTGATTCTTTAGTACCATAAGATGGATAAGTTGAAATAAGTTGGTCTCACCTGTGTGTCTTCTGTGTTTCTTTAAGCAGCCATGTCAGGCCAACAGAGGCGGCTCGTGTTTCAATCCTTAGCACTTTTAGAAACCAATAAAGCTCTTTTCAGACGAGAGATACAAAACATTACTGGCTTCATCAGTTTGTTATAATGATGACTTGAAGTCATTCAGACTCCTGTTTAAAGTACTTTTCCACATGGTTTTATTCTTTTCATTCACTTACAAGATCCAGAGTTGCACATGTAACAGTTGCAATCTGCACATGAATGAACAGTATGTTAAATAAGTGTATTAAAGAAAATGACGAGTCACACTGTGGTAAAGATTGATAGAGTGTCAAACGTACTGTGGTTGTTTATAAAAGAGAATGGAGAGATTTTGATTGTTTTAAACATTTACCACGTTGATTAGTCCCATTTATGTTAATTATAGTTGACCTATTTTATTTCCTTTTTTGTTGTCATAAATAGATTTTTTTTGTAGGTTTTTTCTACAAGGTGCACATAATTTTCCATTTTTTCCAGTTTTTATGTCTGAATCACTATGCATTCAATAAATGTTAATATTAAAGAATGACTAATGAGAGCTTTGAGTTAGAGAACATTAATGTCTGAAAAAAATGCAACTAATGCAGTGAATTGATAAAATGCGGAGCTCATATTACTTTCATGAGAGAGAGAGAGGAACAGACTACGTTAGAAGCAAACATGGAGTAATTATTTCAACAGTTATATTTGCTGTGAATGGATGCTCCAACATTAAAACAACTTTGCTGAAAATTTTACAAGTGCATTTAGCTAAAATCAGAAGAAATGCATGGCCTGTTTTATTAAAACTGTAATATTTTACAGGCTGGATAGAATGAGCTCACAGACAGAACATGGCCCAAGGGCCACCAGTTAAATTACAGTATTAAATAAAAAAAATACTTTATTTTACTTCATTCAATTAAACCATCTTTATCATCCTCGCTTCATGTGAGAAACTTTATGTTTTTTAACATGCTCATTCTTCAGAAAAGAAAAACAAATATTTTAGTCAAATGAGAGATTTTTCCTTTTTTTAATTGAAGTTGTGAAGAGATGCTTTGGTGCTGCAGCTAAACATGGTTGAGAAAAAGACCTGCCTGTTTTTTATTTAATTACAGCTCATCAAATGTCTTCAAAAAAGGAGCGCATTTACAAAAATAACCACAACACGCCAGAGCTTTCATTGTGTTGTAAGTGATGCTCAGATGTACCAGGTTTGAACTGGAATAAAATGTTGCAAAATTAAAAAAGAATAAGAATGATCATTCAAATATAATGTGTTCAGCTGCAGCCAGATGGAAAACAGTGTTTGCCTGAAAGGGGATTCATTTCACACTTTTCTTCCATTTTGCCATAAATCTCCTCCTTCAGTTATCTTTTTGTGCAGATTTTAATCTTGTGTTGAGAGAACAAAACAAAACAAAAAAACAAAACAAAACAAAAAACAGAAGAGACTCACCTACAATGGCAAGGTTATGTTCAGATCCACAAGAAATCTGTAAAGAAAACAAAAAAAGATGGACGTCTGCTCAAAATGTGCGTTAAAACACAAACACAGTGAACATGGAGACATACAGGAATTGTTTTGTGAAATTATACACATGAAAAACAAAATATATGAAAAAATAATGATTAAATATCACCTATAATTAAAAAACAGGAGCTATAACTGGTAAAAATAAACTCGTTTTTACTGAAGAATGTGATGCAACATTTAAAGATCGCAACAAGAAAGACTGTTAGCATTTTATTGGCTTTTTTCTATTGTCTCCATTTGTATTCAAATTAAAAGATAAATGACGTCTCACCGACACAAACCATCCTTTCTAGCTCAGTTTTAAGAATGACATTTTTTGACTTAAGCATAAATGTGAGCTGATTCATATCCTTTGAAAATTGAAAAAATGTTCCTCCTCATATGATTACTTGCTTTGTAAACTGACAGTTTATTTAATATTTATTTTGTACTTATTGACACTATTTGAAAGACTAAAATGGGCTCAGAGATTTGTGCTCCACTCAGGTAATTCCTCTTGCATTGTGACTCACAAGCACAGACACACACTCACAAGGTGATTACACTTTGACACAGGCCAGTGCTTCTGCAGTGATCTGTGACTCAGTGGAAGAACGATCCAGCACTCCCCCCTCGCTTGTCCCTGACATCCACTTTATTGACAATGATTTTCTTCCACACAGCTGCCATTAAGACCATAAGTTAACTGCTGCAGTAATAATTACCCTTACTGGAGAGATCTCTGCCTTCACTTTAATGTGGTTTCTCTCTCTGCTGCATAAATAATGATAGGAGCGCTCTGTATGCAGGATGTGCTGAAGCAAAACATCATGAAGCTTTCTTTTTCCAGAGAGCATCATGTTTCTCTCCATACTAAGTAACCTTCAGCCTGTGGTTTTATTCTGTGGTTGCTTGACGCCCCCTGCTGGACGGCAGAAAACGTTTTATTTTAATTCAAAGCAAGCTGCAAACCTTACCTGTGTTGCTCCGATAAGAACTTTAATTTCTTCTGGGAGGCAATTCTCTTTGGTTTGGCTGCCACCTTCTGCTACAGAACCATCGGCGTGCTGCTCTGTTTTCTGACTGGTCGAGACTCGTCGACCCAGCTGTCCATAATCTCCTCTGCCCCATGTGAACACTTTGCCACTTTCTAAAACAAATTAAGCAAGCAACTGTTTAAAAATACAGATTTTCACCACCTTTCATAACAGATTTTTATCCAAGATCATCCTATGAGAACTATTAAAAGATAAGATAAGATAAGATAAGATAAGATAAGATAAGATAAGATAAGATAAGATAAGATAAGATAAGATAAAACTTTATTGTCCACCAAAGTGGAAATTGTCCTTTGACTCTCCAGCCATAAAACACATACATACAATCATAACTTCAAAAATTTAAAACATAAATAAAAAACAATAATAAAAACCCTAAACATATCATCAATGGGAGATTGTCATTTAGTTTGGTTAAGAATAGTTATTGCACTGGAAATAAATGACCTCTTGTAGATGCTCTTGGTTGCCAGAGGGACCCTAAAACACCTTCCGTTGTAATAAAATGTGTTAGCACTCAGAAGATGGTCTTGGGATGAGTCTCAGCTACTATCACACAAAGTTTTGACTCTATATCAGTAAAATGACATGAGTTATAGCCATGTTTGTGTTTCCTAATTTCAGTTAGCTGTGGATTGATTCAAAGGTTAATCAGCTGTAGATATACATCCACTGATTTTATTTCTGAGGGTTTCAGTAAAATATGTCCAGTGGTTCAGGAGATATTTTGCTAAAAGACAAAGGTGATTCCAACAGTTAATAACAACATTTTAAGCTAAAATATTACAGAATGCAGTAATAGTCAGGATGGTGCTCAGCTACAATTATACCAGCGTGTGTATTGGACTGACACCCAAAGTTACTCAGATTTAGAAGTTAATCTGATTTTCTGAAGGTTTCATTAAAACCTAATGCTTCATGAGATATTTTGCTAATACAACAGAGAAACGCACATACAGACACAAGAAAAACAAAATCGCCTGCTGCCAAAGGCCAAAGGACGTTAATGAGCCTAAATAACCTGTACAACTACGCTGGTACCTGTTTGAGCAACGTTGTGGGTCCAGCCGCTCCAAACTTTCAGAACTTTCTCTGCTTTAAACAGACAAGGCTTCAGGAGAGTGGGAGTGGGCAGAAAAGGCTCAGCTGTGGTCAGCTGGCCATGTTTGTTGCTTCCCCACAGAAATAAATCACCTTCTTCTGCACAAACAGAAACAACATTCCTGTTTATCCAACAGAAGCAGAAAGACCAAACAATCAGGAGGCTTTTATCTACTATTTACAGAACAAACAGTAGGTCAGTAACACGTGGAAAACTACTCAAGAGTAAATAAGATCACATGCGGCACATTATATGCCTGTCAACAAACTAATATACAGCAATGTATAGACACGACCTTGTTTTAACTTTGACATTGAATAATGACCTTGACCTGGAAGCTGGAATAATGAAAAATGTATGCAACGGTTTATCTAGTGATGACACATATGTTTATCAACCTTCATTAAATTATCTTGAGTGGTTTTGAGGTTAAAGGCAAGAAAAAAAGGAGACTATATAATTACACATCCAGCTTCAACAGGCCAAGCAAAATGTATTTACTATCTGCTTATGGATTACAGATTCTCTGGCACTTTACTTATTTTTTTCCACAAAAAAAGGACATTTTCATAAGCAAGTTGTCAGTCCTGTTTATGTGATCGAGCGCCCGGCACTGTTTGGGATTTACAGTATTTGTCTTACCTGTAAGGCACGCACAGTGAGCTGAACCTGCTGCTACCAGTTGTGGTTTCCTCTGGTTGAGACCTGCGATGTGGACAGAACGATCAGTCACGTCTTTCAATAACGAGTGTTAAAAGTAAACAAACCATCCACTATGTTGCTGTTATTAAATCTGCTCAGCATACATTACCTGGAACCAAGTAAGGAACCCTGGAGCACAGGTGTGAAGGAACAGGGTGTGGACTGAGTGCTCGTTTAGCGTGACTGAAAAGGCCAGTTCCCCATTGATACACACAGCCTGAGTCTGCAAGGTAAACAGAAAGAATTGAGTTATGGCTTTCCTCCTATGGAAAAAAAATATTAATAAGGAGAGCTAACAATGCTACCTTACCGCTAACGGCGAGCGAATGTCGAAGTCCTGCTGCAACACTCACTATTGGTTCTTTCAGACCCTGAAAACAAACACAAGGTGTAGTTTAAGTTTGGTCCAGACAGAATTTACAGTGTTAAACTAACAAAGACTTGACTCCATAAAAGATATGATATTATCATGAGCTCACCACAACAGCCAGAAGATCAGCAGTTTGTTTGGTTGTCTCTCCAACACCCAGCTGTCCAAATGCATTAGAGCCACAAGCCAGTACTTGATAATAATCTGTCCGTGTTACAGAAAACAAAATGTTGAGTAAATATAAAGAACAAAATAAGTTCAACTTTTGATTCGTCTGCTGGTAGCATTTCTGTTTCATGATCTGTTTATGCTCCTACAACAAAGTCTAAAAACGCAATCTGTTTTACATTTTTTATTAATGTAATTCAGGCTTAACCCTTGGGAGGTTTAATGAAGCATTTCAATTTTAAGCCATAAAAGGGATAATACTAGTTTTTAAAAATTAAACAAACTGTCATCCCCATACAGCAGATGATGACAGGAGTAATTTCCTGAGACCTTGTTGTATAAAGCAGCCATACAATCAGCGTTTTTCTAAAGTCTGCCCTAATCATAAAACCTTATATTTGCATCCTTCACATTGTCCAGATGGAACATCTGTCCATTTCCTGTTGGTTATGCAAGGGAAGCTTTTTAGAATGTCTTTATGAGTAATGCATGGAGAATTATCAGTTAAAGTAGTAAATAGTTAATTAAAAAAATCTATTTATTCAATGCAGCTAACAGTTTTGGGTCAGGTTTCTTTTTAGCATTAAAGTACATTAAACATATGGCTTTTTTATTTCTGTTTTTATAGATGGGGCCTAGATTAAAAATGTGGTTAGTGCTCACCAGTAAGAAGAAGAGTAAAATCCCAACCACAGGTTACATGTGTGACTCTCTGATTCAAGCCGGGGCAGAGCTGAAGAGTTGAGATGTTAATGTTGTGGCCAAGTCCTAGCTGACCTCTGTCATTCTGTCCACAGACAAACACCTCTCCACTCTCTGTCCAACACAAAAAAAAGTCATCATAAATCTAAGCACACAATTTAACACATCGTTTAATGATCATGCAAAAATTACAACTCTTAAAGATTAACAACAGAGGGATCAATCTGTAGTTTAAGTGCTAACAAAACATTGTGTTATGCAAACAGTTTTTTCTACCATTTGCAAACCAGTTACAGTATATCTGAATTTTATATACAAATAATGATTACAACAAATTAGAAAATATCTACGTAAGCTTGTGTTGATAATCACAGATAAACAAAATTTTGTTGGTCTTAGGCTGACATTTACACAAAATGAATCTCTATAGCAGAGGTCTCCATCCCTGTTCCTCCTGACCCACTGTCCTGCATGTTTCAGCTGTTTCCCTGCCTCAGCATACCTGATTCAAATAATTAAATTACCTACTCAGTACGTCATCAAGTTTAGCAGAAGCATGTCAGTCACTCATTAATTTCAGTCAGATATGATGAAGCAGGGAACATCTAAAACTCGCAGGACAGTGGGTCAGGAAGGTATGGCATCATAGGCAAGAAGTTTGGCACCAAAAACAAACAATAAAACTCTTAAGATGAAATAACTTACTTCGTAAATACGAGGCACAAAATTACCTTTCAAACTCTTATTTTAGTAGCTAAACTTAGACTGCCTGTGAGGTTTGGAAAGTGAGTGAAATCAATGAGTTACCGGTGATAACCACAGAGTGTCCCCCTCCACCGCTCACAGACCGGACTGCTCTGCCCTGCAGTGCCGAGCTGTCAGAGAGCCGGGGGACACACTGGTCCTCCGCATGTCCCTGTCCCAGCTGTCCGTAGCTGTTGGCTCCCTGACATTAACGAGAAAATGTTGGTCTTATCAGAGGAAAGCAAAGCTACTATGCAGAATTTGCTATGGGAGTTGCTAGTTGAGCTAGCAAGAATGCTACAATAAACTTCCGTGTTATTACTTTACAGAAGGAGCGGAGCTGAGATAATATATTAATATAATATACGACTTGACACATATAACTTACAAAATTTAGTAACAAAAAGAAAAAATATATAAACTTACCCAAGTGTGTAAACAAAACTCAAGCCGTGAGTGTGTTTCCATGGAAAACCAAACGAATGAAATCGGTTTGATTTGCGACACTGTCGTAAAAGACGTTGTTTACATCTCTGAAGCTGGGTTTATTGTATTGCATTTTGGACATGTTTTGTACAATTAAAAATAACTGTGTATGATTTGTTTGAGCTCTGTAATGTAAAACCAAAATAAAATAATAAACTAAAAAAGTTACCGTTTTCAAATTTAAACATCTAACATTTCAAGACTACTCATAATG